CCTCACTGCACAGTGCTCACACAAAGTTCAAACATCTACTTCTCCTATTCAGGCTGTGATGGAAAGAAACAAAAAACACAAAACACAAAACACCAGTGCTGCTTATTCCTTGTGGATTTACTACGGTCCAGTTAAATCTAGATTGTGATCATGTTAAAAATGTTAATGTATGCTTATTGAGAATCTTGTGTCTAACTTCTTCATAAGTTTGGGGGTAAGGAGGAAAGGAAATTGGCTACTTAGTATAAAGCTCTGAGACAACTCTTGGCAACTTCTTCACATGCAGACCTCTAGCTGCAGCTTTGTGTTTAAATTATATCACAAGCGAGGATGTTAATTGAAAAACTGTGTAAGAGGGATGGATGAAAATTTTGCTGTCATGCATAAGTTTAGGGTGCACCTAACATGCTGTTATGTTTATTCCTTCATTCTTGGATGATTTGATTGCCTAAACAGGGCTGTGGCTTTGCACTGTTGATGAAATTTGCCCCAGAGCAGGAAGTTTCCCAGCACAAACCTAGTCAGTCTCTTTAGGCAATCCTGCTGTCATTAGGAAACTTTTCAGATGTCAAATACAGAAACAGAATTTGGCCTGTGATCCAGGACACAGAAAAGTGGGTAGAGGCGACTTCCTCCATCTTACTGGCTGAAACCTCTCAATTAATATTGTGTCACAGCAAACTCAGACGAATGTCAGCTGCACATATGTCATGAGGGCACTGGCTTCTTAATTTGAGTACTGGCTTCCTCCAGAAATAAAGAAGCTCACTTATCTGTGTGGAAATAAACTCCCATGAGGTCATCCTTCCCTCTTTCGAACATGTGGTATACGTAAAAAAAGCCGTGACTTATGGAAGAGACAGTTGCTCAAGTCTGGGCTTGTATGAGATAATGGTGACAGTGCACAGTTTTCCAAAATCTGGTACTCGTCTGTAGACTGTAAACTCAAATGAAGGGGTCACTTTTCTTGTTTCCCCACATGTCGGCGATGTGGAAAGACGTGGTTGCCACAATGGCTGAAATCCAGTTGCTTAGCATCCTACGTTGACTAGAATCGAATCAGTGAGGTTTTGGTGAGCCAACTCTCTCTGAGTTCTGTTTGATTCAAATGGCCTTACTCTAGTTGTGATTCACTACACTAGGCAACAGTATTTCAGCCAATGGATATTCTTTGCAGTCTTTTGATCCCATCTTGTGGGTTTGCTATGTTTTGAATTGAACGTTATGTATGGATTTCAATAGTAGTAATAATAAATAATTTTTTGAAATGAAAAAAGTCACAGGCAGGGATTATAAAGTAAGATTCATTTGAAACCTATTTTTCACCATCCAAGTAACCTTGTTGGAGCATTAGAACTTGCATGGTGTAGACTGTGAGCAAGGATATGGGAAGAGAGCTAGTCTCACCTTCTGCTGTTCTTACCTTGAAGCTGTCATGTCAGGGATTCTGATGGCTCGACATGTTCCTAAGAGACCTACAGAACATTATAGACCTCTCTAAGGAAAAACCAAAAGCTTTTGTTTGTCACAGCTGGCATTTGTCCTAGAAAAAAAGGGTTACTTCCAAAATGAAATTAGACAATTGTTTCCAGTCCTATCAAAATTCATTTTAGTATCACAGTATAAGTCTTTGCGTTGTTGTGATGATTCCAGGCAACATCAGTTTGTCTAAATCTATCAGCTTTATTCATGTATAATGTGTACGTTCCATAAACATAAAAATACATTATTAAAAAAAAAAAACAAGACAAATCTGAATGTATTGAAAACACAGACATAAGAAAAACTGTGGACATAAATGCTTGAAAATATATGAAAATGAAACTTAATTTGGAGGCAAATACTTACGTTAGAATCCAGTCCAAACTACATGAACTTAAAAAGTACAACCCTCCCCCCATATGTCTTAATTACATTCTAAAAATGCTAGAGCTTATAGCTTAAAGAGGCACACTGAAAAAACAGGGAATACGTAGATCTCTATAATATCAAAGTTATTAAAAGTATAAATACACAAAAGTAACATACATATTACTTGGCCTTTTAGCATATCTGGATACTCATGAATTTTTTTCTGAGTTCTCATCCAACCAAGGCAATTTTAATGTATAGTGGAAAATCCATGTTGTCTTCATCTGCTGTTGTTGTTGCTACACAATACTGTTATTTGATGTCACTGTTCTTGATCTTCAGCATGTGCGTGTGTGGTGTGGCATTGTTGCATTGCATTGTGTAGCTTCGTTGTGTGTCTTAGGTAAAGGTAAAAGTTCCCCTTGACATTTAGTCCAGTCGTGTCCAATTCTAGGGCATGGTGCTCATCCCCGTTTCCAAGCCGTAGAGCCAGTGTTCGTCCGAAGACCGTTTCCATGGTCACGTGGCCAGCGCGACTAGACATGAAATGCCATTATCTTCCCATTTATCTACTCACATTTTTACATGCTTTCGAACTGCTAGGTTGGCAGGAGCTGAGGCAAGCGACAGGAGTTCACTCCGTTGTGTGGATTCGATCTTATGACTGCTGGTCTTCTGACCTTGCAGCACAGAGGCTTCTGTGGTTTAACCCGCATTACCACCACTTCCTGTTGTGTGTCTTATGCCCCAAGTAGACACAGTCTAGAGGGGCGGAGTAGAAATCTAACAAACAAACAAATAAATAAATAAAATAAATAAATAAATTCCTATACGTATATTTTTCTCAAATGTTTACCTTTCTTTTCAGACTGTAAACAACTGAATTTTGCAGGACATGTAAGTCAAAGGGACTAGATCCATAATTAAAAAAAAATATAATGGAAATTTATATTGTTTTTGCAACTCCTGTTAATGCATTTCCAGTAAATTAGAATCTGGCAAGCTGCCACCATGACAATAAGTATTATTATATGACTAATTATTAATTTACAGAGCTTGCAGCTGTTAATGGGTTGAAACTACAGGTGTCTAATAAATAAAGTAGAGCAAGTTACACAATCTGCAAAGACCATATTGTCAAAACATTGCAACATTCTACTTATTAAAATGAACTTTCAACTCTCTTGTATATGGTTATCATTTGTAAACATATTCAACTGTCAGGAACGTTACTGTATTTTGACCTTGCTTCCAGGCTTAGCTGGAGAGCTGGCTGATTGTTTTGCAGTGACTTCTAGTAAATTGCTATTCATACCTAATTTTTAAAACACAATGTATATTTTCAAGGCTGCTTTTTAACACTATATTCCAAATTACACACCTTGACAAAGTTGTCCACAGTTTCTTCCTTTTTTTCCTTCTACAATTGTTTGGGCCCTGATTTGGGTAGTTTTGTTTTGAAAACAAAGAAGAAAAACCAATTCCAAACTGAAAATAAAAAGCAAACAGAAAAACCAAGCCACTGTGGCTACCTGTCCATTTGTTTGTTAAAGTTACAGAAAGGCTACAGGCTGGCTGGCAGTCAATCTGGGTAGAGTTGGAAAAGCCTGGAGGGTGACAGTAAGATCGGTAGAAGTGGTTACAAGAAGACCTCGGCTGTGCTCTGTGACAATTCTGGGTACCTGTGGGAAAGGCTGGAGATAGTTAGGTGGAGGCTGATGGAAAGAGAGATACAGCAGCCTCTTATGCCTTTTTCCAGGGCTGTAGAGCAACTGGGGACTCATTGGGGAAATGTATATATGGTGGATAAATATGATATGTGGATGTGTGTGAACATATGCTGGAGTTGTATGTGTGTGTGTGTGTGTGTGTGTGTGAGAGAGAGAGAGAGAGAGAAGGTGTTTCTGGGTAATTCAGAAGGAGACCATTGGACGAGGGAAATTCTGAATGAAGGAATGTGTGTATGTCTGACTTGTGCACTTTCACTCTAACTTACGGAAGAGTTTGAAGGGATGGGCGATCCTGGGAGAGAAAAGTGTTAAGAAATTGGTTTGTGATTTCAGGTATCACATGCACATACACAATATGTATTCACATTCTAAGATAACCCACTTGCCTTTTTGCCCTTCTGTGAACTGGGTGATAGGCTGTGCCCCCAGTCATGTTTTGAAAGGCAGTTCTCCCCTGGCAGCAATCTTGTGATGGTACCTAGGACATTTTCTCACAACGCCAGTGTGCCCATCTGTTCCAAACATTTGGTGAGCCCTGTTTTCCTCCTTCAATTGTAACATTTTCAATGATGTTTAAAAGCATATAAAAGCAATACGCTTCCCCGCCTTTTTTACATGCCAGTACATATCTTCGATTGTTGTGTATCCAGCTGGAGACTAAGTTTCTTCCACATGCTGAAGGCAAATGATAGAATCTGAAGCAGTAGAGAAGCAAGACAATTCAAAGGCTGCCTTGCTCAAGCTTCACTACCACTGTGTTGTAGGAAGAATGGCCCTGGAAAATCCCATTACTGTATTCCTGAACCAAATATCTGAAAAGGCCAGGTAACCTGCAGCATTTGAAACTTGATTCCAACATTAGCTCCTAAATATGTTGGAACACCATTTTTAGAAAAGTAGGTAGCGAGTAAATAATTAATTGTGTGCTGTCAAGTTGATTCCAACTCATAGCAAACTTTTCCATGTTTTTTCTAAGTATCTTGAGTTAAATACTGCTGCCATTCTTCTTAAATAAAATATTTTGTAGTTCTTTTTTTTTCTTTATTTTTTTCTCAAATAAGAAAAATGTTGGGGAGAGAAAGACATTTCACCACTATATTTTTTGGGTTTCTTTACATGCCTTCATATCTGTAGTCTTTTAACTGTGCATTGTATGTATATGACATCTTATGATTACCATACAATTACCATTACCTACTGAAGTTTTCAAGCTACTTGCCTTCAAGGATCCATATCCTTATTGATGGATCTGTGGAGGAATTCCAGCACTTGAAATCTCTGCTGAGGTTGAAAATTATGGTGTGCCATTAAACTCACAGAGGACTGAACAAAAGTGACTGGACGCACATAATTTATATACTCAAGCACAAAATGCATAATTAACATGTCTGTTTTTTTTCTCTCTCTCTGTCTCCACAGCTTGCCGGAACAGCTGTTCTCGCAATTGGGCTATGGCTTCGGTTTGATTCACAAACAAAAGATATTTTTGAACAAGATACCAATTCCAAAACATTCTTTATTGGTATGTCATGAAACAGCTGCTCACTTTATATTCTCAGTATGTTTTAGCACTAAAAAAAAATACAAAATAGAACATTGTACATCCCATGAAACAATGGGTGTACACACGATCCAGAAGGATAAAGTGTTTCATATGAGTTAGAAATCTGACTTTCAGAGCACATACTTAAGCCTAAGATACGCCTGCTTTCTTAGAGTTGGAAGTTAGATACTTTGATACCCAGATATTACAGTTAAGGTAAGGGAACTTTGATGAATGTATGGGCATCAATGTTTTAAAGAGTCTTTCTATTTTAAAACATGGGGTTCAGGGAGCGTGCACCTTATTTTAAAAATAGTCATGTATGCATGCTTTCATTTCAAGCAAGGTATGTGTTCTCTATGGATCTTATTTTGTCATGAAAATGTTTGAGGGTTTACTTTCAGTACCAATTTGTAGTCAACCCCTGACTTTGAGACTAGCACAGAGTAAGTGAAGTCACCCATAGAATAGAGTGTTTAATTGCAGGAATTTGAGGGCAAATGGGATGTATTGTCTAGAATGCTGTTGATGTTCACAAAAGTTTGTATAAGGTGCCACAGCTAAATGCAGCTAATTGACAAGGTCCTGAGGCATTTAGCACAGCAAGTTATGAGGATCTTACGCAAACACCAGAGGGATTCTGCCTGTTGCTATCACTCCTGTTTGTTTGAGGCAGGTAACATTATTCTAGGTCCTAATAACGTCACCTACAGTGTCAGAGAATTTTGTTCACTGGCTCACCTCCTTAAGTGATACATGCTGTCCATCTACCAGTAATGTCCTTCTGCATTTTATGCAGACAGACAAACTGGCTAGTATCTAAATGGCAGGTAGAAGAACTGACCTTAATAACCCACAGTCTCTGTTCCACACTTACTTGTCCATACACATTCTTCCCTGCTGCACACTCACTACTCCTGGCAGCAGTCTCCTGCCTTTCTCCCTCCGTGCTGGATTCTGAGAAAGAGGCTTCCCTTTTACAGTGTCAACACAAAAATGTAGTGAACCTTCCCTACTCCTTTCTTGGCAGCTTGGGAGTATAGGGCTGGGAAGACAAGAAGGTTGTATCCAGCACACATGCAGGAGGGTTTTTCCTCTGCTGCTATATGCGTGTGTGCACTTAACGCACACAGACACAGGCACTCACACACACACAGTGTTCAGTTGCAGGAATAGATCATTTTGGCATCCAAGGATGCTTTGTTACTGTTAGTAATCATTCCTGAGCAAAGGAACTCCAAAGGGAGGCATAGTGTGAAACTTACCTTAATAAGTAATTAGTTCTGTCATCTGTAGCCTGAATCCAGATAATGGATTACTACCAATATTGATTGGCTTACTTATGTCACAAGTGTTTGCTATTATCAGTGACACTTCTTTGTGAATGGGCTCCATAATAATTTTACATATATTAAAGTGGTAATACAATTGGCTGTTATACACTCCATGTGTCTCTGACCTCACTTTTTATAATTCCTCCACCCCCTGGACAACTACATCTACAAACTTAGGGCAATGTTTTATGCATCTGATGAAGTGGACTCTAGTTCACTAAAGTTTAAGCTATCATTGTTTAATGCTGTTAAGCTCCTTAAACAGGCCACCTAGAATACCAGAATGAGTGAAAAAGTGCAACTGGCAGTGTGGTGGCTAGCCTGTATGTTGCTTCGTGTTGGTGAAGCATGAAGCCTTATGAAATGAAAGTTGTTGTTTTTTTCCTTTTTAATTTCAATCCAGGTGTTTACATTCTAATTGGAGCTGGTGCACTCATTATGATTGTTGGTTTCTTGGGGTGTTGTGGAGCAATACAAGAGTCCCAGTGCATGCTTAGTTTGGTAAGTATCAATTCAAATGCTGACTGAGATTTCTACAGTTGGCAGAATGAGGAGGCAAAGCTTTTGCTAGACTTCGTTTCTTAGTGCATGTTTCACTCCATTTTAGAAGATGATCCAGAAAGGGTATTTAGTGAAGTCTGTTTGCCGAATCAGAAAGAATGCCACAGGTGACAACACAATTTAAGTGTTCATGTGTGTGCCATATATGTGGCTCCCATGTGCAGCAAAATTATTACTTATTTTAGATATTATATCAAATGCATATCTCATCTTTCCACCAAATCGTATTCAATGCTGCTAACCACAAGCAAGTACCAACAAGACAGTGTATAACTGGAAAGTTGTGCTGTCAGGATAAGGTTTAATTAAAAAAAAAAAGAATAACGCAGCTAAAACCAGACAGAAGCTAATATACAGGCAGGTTTTTTTCCCCTGTTCCTTCCTCAAGGAAAGAAGCTATCCTGAGATTCCAATTGAAGAAGTACAGGTGTTATTGATGAAATTATATGGAATATAATTTCAATACTCTTTACGACTTGGAAGACAGGCTGGTATGAAGAGTATATAATAGTGCATTTTCTTAGACCTGTTCATATAAACCACCCATGTCTGTGGTGATCAGGGAGTGGAGTCCTAACTCCTGTCATCATCCCCACCAAGGTAGGAAGAGGAATATCTTTGACTTGCATTGTGATACCAATCTAATCCATACCTCCCGAACACAACCAAAAACACAGCCGTCCCCCAGTCTTCCTATTTCTTTAAATTTTGAAGTGGTTTTCTGCAGTCAAAATAGGTATACAAAAGTACATGGCCTCAAAGAATTGTATATAAAAGTGAAATACTTTAAAAAATTACCCTAGTGTATGTATTTTTGTACGCATCACACACGTTTCATTTACAAGATACCTTTCTTCCACTGCCTATCATGGAGATGATGATGATCCATATTGGGAATATGGGATATTAATTTTCATGCTTTTTTTTTTACCAAACTTCTCAAACTACGACAGAAATGGTATATGCTGAACTGGTTTAAAGGCTTGAAGCCAAAACAGACAGATTCCTCCATCCCTGCTCCCAATGCTTGTGGCCTTTCTGCACTTTCCTGTAGATGTTCCATAGGCTCTGCTTTCTAATATCAAGGACAGATCTTGGCTAGGGATGGGGGCATAGCACCGCCACCAGTCCACATCTACAGAATTCAAGTGGGAACATTGCCCATACAGAATTCAGGCTGTATGAAAAGCCATACTTTGTCAGTGTTGTTTTTGTTTGGCAGCTAGTCAAACATAATTTGGTTCCTGGAGGTCAAAGTGTTCTTCTAAGCACCTTGTGACCATATCTGAGAAGTTTGAATTCTAGACCTCCTAGTATTCCCACACTGATCACAATATGAGCAAGACACAAGCCCCACACTAGAGTAAGCCTTGTTGGGGGGGGGAATTTCCCATTGGCACACACAGCTGGTGTTTTCTTCCCCTAAGGATAACCAGTTTGGGGGACAATTTGTTGGGAGGTTCAGAGAGAAGAGATAAATTCAGCAACCTCAGTGAAAATGGGAGCATCATATCTTGGAATCAAGTGCAGCCTCTAATTAAAGTACAATTTAGTTGACAGTAAATTTATCTGATATAATGGAGTGACATGCAACTCAGAATTTATAGACAGATTTAGCACTAATGTCAGTCATGGTATCTTAGTGGCTAGAGAAGAAATATACTGAGTACTTTGTTCGAATGTCAACTTTGTATGTAGTCCTTCCAGGGATTCTTACATGCTGTAAAGTAGGCCAGTATTAGTATTTTTCCAAACTGCAAGGTTGCCTATGCTTGTATTTGGCTATGGTAGGAATTGATCAAGATACACACAATGCATTTGCTAATTTCTAAACTCTGTACTACACCACACTTATTTTCATGACCTCATTGTAGAACAAGAAAATATTTATGTTTGCATCCTCCCCTTGTTTTCAGATGTGTAGAGCAACTGAAATGGAAATACTTTTGGTTTCCCATCAAGGCACTGATAAAGTCCACAATCACTTAGCTTTGACAATGCTGGAACATCAGGTGCTTCCAAACTGTGCAAATTCTCACACAATAACAGGAGAATTGGTTCTGACATGTCGTGTTTTTGATGGGAGATTTCCTTCTGTGTAATATGACATCTCATGTTTTTATAGGCCAGTATCCCGTTCAGTACTAACACACATTGAGCCCCAGCTGCTGAAACTGCTATGGTGATCTGATAAGGTGTCAGTTGCATGTGACCAGCACTTCATTGAATCACTATGGCAACTTCTCCGGCTGAGGCTCCTTGTGAGCATAAATACTGAGTAGGATTCTGGCTATAGTTTTAGAAAATTTTAATTTAAACCTATCCAAGACCTGGACTTCAGTACAGTTGCAAAGGTCTGTGTACATACTTGACGCTAGTGAACAAAATGCAACATTTGCCAGCTCTCTTCAGAAGTGACCATTTTTCTTTCTCTCTCTGCTCCTGTAGTTTTTTATTTTCCTTCTCTTGATTTTTGCCCTTGAAGTAGCTGCTGGCATCTGGGGATTTGCAAACAAGACAAAGGTGAGTTGACCTTTTCTAAATACTGAACATTTCAAAAGCTGCCTTTATCATATGTACCATGCAGAGCTGTGACTTTAGTTTGCCATTGGCCAATGTACTTGTGACAGCATATCCAGTAGGTTTCAGCAGAGCTCCAAGAGAAGCTGTCCACAAAGCAAAATGGATTTTAGGTGTACATCAGTCAGCCAGCCAGTCAGTCAGTTTATTGTTACGGTCCTTAGACCAATCACACAGAAAAAACAAACCTTTACAGGTTTCTGAAATTCCAAATCCTTCATAAATAGATTTAGCATTAAAAGACAGTTTAAAATCCATAGAATTTTCAAAATCTGAACATCACCATACAGAAACTGGCTAGTCAGTATGTGATCTTGGGGTCCATATCAGAAAGAAGAAGCTCAAGTCTACTTTTTTTCTGATCGGCCAGGAATTTGTTTGATCAGTGAGGTGATGTTCTCCTTACCTGCCACCTCATAATGCAGGCCAGTGAATAACATGTGCTCTGTAGTCCCACTCTCCTTAAGGGGTGGGTACAAGGCCTTTCGGTGAAAGGGATATTCATGTACTTCCTTTCAGGTACAGCAGAAGGGAGGGCCCAACCCCTTGCCAAGGTTTAAGGCTCTTCTAAACCCTATTATTTCCAGATATATTAAATAATTTGCAAGTTCCACAGAGGTTTTTTTCTGTGTGTGTAATCCTTCACCATAATATTTTGTATGCAGGAAAGGTCGGTTTGGTGTTCTATATCCTCATTTCTTTGCTTAACTTTTTCTTTTTGCCTGAATTATTCTATAAGATAAGAGTGCCTGAGGGAAAAGGCCAATTTTCAGCAAATAGTTCTGGACACACTTGACCCAGTGGATTGAAAATTGTCATAGGCTATCAAAGAAAATAGACCTTGCAGGTTTAGTTGTCCCTTTAGCTACATATATATATGTGTATTTAAAGGACTTTTACCCCACCTTTCTTATAGGATACCAACCCAGGCTTCAACTTTTAGGCAACCTGTTTCTCATCTCACCCTGGCATTTGACACTCATCTAGGGACCTGTAAGATAGTTCTTGAAAGTTTAGGTTGGACTCCTCCTTATGGTGCAAAATTGGAGCTAAGTGGTCCCAGGAATGAATTTCAGTTAACATCTTGGCCATATAAAGTTTGACAGCTGCCAGAAGAAAGAACCTTCCTTGAGAGCGATGGGATTTTGCTATGCTGTTTGTGGATCTTTCTCCTTGATCTGCCATCTATTCACTATCTTCGAGCCTAGACCCCCAAGCCCGGAGAACTATCTCAAAGTATTAGAAGTTGTAAACTTGCTTCATGCAATGGCCATTAATCGACCCAGCATGAGTCTTTGGTTTGCACCCAAAGGTGACCGTCTCAGTTTTCTGATAGTTGATTGTTCAGTATGAGGAGAGCTTCCAAAGGCCCCCCCTCAACCCATCTATTCCTGCACATCTCAGTCCATTCCTGTGTAGATGCCAGAATACCCATGTCATGTTCTAACCTACAGAGGTCTGTTTTTGGCCTGGCTGAAGTAGCTGACCAGAGGCTACTTGTGCTCTGCTATTAGCTCTTAAGTGTGGTCTTTCAGCTCGTACGTTACCACGTTTATATATATAAACGTGATAACGTACAAGCTGAAAGACCACACTTAAGAGCTAATAGCCATGGTTGCATCTTCTAAGTTAAAACCCTGTCCCCTAGAGAGTTTGGAGAGTGATATCAGCAAGTTGTGGTGGCCATCTTGCAAACTGAGAAGCTGAGCTAACAGGAAATGAGCTTTAACCACAGTTTGGTTCAGGACACATGTTAACTCTTAACATGGTTCATGCAATTCAAGCCATATTTCTACTTTTTTTTCCTTTGGGGCCAGTCTGTAACCAAGGGGTTTAGGTATTAAGACACAATGATAAATGCAGTTGCATTAGATCTGTAGAGAGTAGACGAACATGTACAGGGCAAGGTAATAAAATTTTCTGAAAGTACTTTGTCAGCTGTGCTACATACAGCTTATGCCAGCTTTTATCTTCCTTTTTCAAAACAAGTGATTAAAAGTATTTCTTTCATCTCATTTCTTTCATAATTGGGGATAATTATTGTCTTGCATTTTATTTAGGTTGCTGAAGAAGTTAAGAATTTTTATGATTCAGTATATAATAAGAGAAATGAGGCTACTGCTAGAGAAACTCTGACAGTCCTTCAGAAAGCAGTAAGTTGGATCTTCTACTTTCATTTTGCGTCTTTATGCTTTAGTGTTTGTAAGAAAGAATGAGAGATTATGCATGCACCATCCTCTTCAGAGAAGTTGACAGACAAAACAGCTGCAGAGATGGTAGAACCAATGGACATAAAGTTGGGAAGTGTTATTTCAAATGTAGAAGATGCAGAAAGCCCAGGAAATAAGTGTCAGCTAGGGAGAGTTGTTTTGGTGGGAAAGGAGGAGGTACTAAAGCATGGAAGGGGAGTTGAAGGGGCAGTCATGGAGGAATGCTGAATGGCAGAGGAAGTAAGACATGAAGAAACGTGGGTTGAAATCATGAAAGATTTGCAAAGGCAGCAGGGCTGGGGGTGGCTTTATTTATTTATTTTATTTATTTATTTTATTTATATCCCGCCTATTTGATCCCTTCCCTCTCTTCCTCAGCATAGGAAGGCTGTGGGGACTGGGGCTGTTTTTAAAAAAGATACATACATTTTATTATTACGGCATCGAGCCATACAAAATTGAATACATAACTTCATAGACAAGCATGTACTACAAAGTCATACAAGAAGTAAAACTAAATGATAAAAAGAGGATAAAAACCTAAAAGGATAAAAGGTAAAACTGCTAAAAGATAAAAGGTAAACCGTTGAGGAGAGTGGCATTTTTAAAAAGATAGCCCCACGAACCAACAAAATGACCCGACGAGCCAACAAATTGAATCATGGTTCATTGGGCCACTGGGGGGCAATTTGTGGGTTGTACGAACCAAGGTGTCCCCATCTCTAGTTGAAATCATAAAATAATCCTTGGATGGGGGAAATGTGTCCCCTTGAAGGTATCTAAGGAAGTAGCAGAAAGAGAGTCAAGAAAGATACGGGTATGAAAACCCCCATATTGCGGAGAGAGCAGAAAGGGAAGCTAGAAAGAAAGAACATGAAAGATTTAATAGAAAAGCCAATTACCAGGAAAATAAGAGATGTCAGATTTCCCTTGGGATCAATCTTGGGATGGCAGGATCTGGAAAGATTCAAGAGGGAAAGTATGGTTTCCCATAAACCCTTATAAGCAGATGGAGGCGACATTTACACCATACATTCCAGATATATTACCTGTTGCTTCTTTGGTTAAATCTCTTGTTAAAGATTTTGAATGTACAAACCAAGAACTCTGGAACTTTGGAGATGAAATCTTGGGTTTGAGTTATCTAAAGGAAAAGAAAGAAACGTCTGTTGTTGCATTATATAAATATGTTGGAGTATAGATGGAGTCTATGCCTACTAACATTGAAGTACTGATGGATGGGAAGGAGGGATTGGGTTTGCATTATCATTATCATGAAGTCGGCATGGTTAAACAATATGTTTATATGAAACTCTGCTTCTACGTGGCTTGGCAGGATGTGGATGAGAGAAGAAACTGTACTGAGTTCTAGAGAATTTATCTGCCCAGAAGACGCCAGTGCTTTCTAAGATTTTGAGCAGGCATACACTAACATAACCCATGAGACCACCAGGGTAAAGCCCTTCTGCCTAATACCTTATCCAGGTGTTATTGATTAGGAGCTTCATGGCACAGTGGTTAAATGGCATTGCTGCAGTGAAGCCTATGCTCGTGACTTCAGTTCAGTCCCGATGGGCTTAAGTAGCCAGCTCAGGGTTGACTCGTCCTTCCATCCTTCCAAGGTTGGTAAACTGAGTAGCCAGCTTGGCAGAGGGCAATCTGTAGCTTGCCTAATTAAATTGTAAACTGCCTGAAATAGTGCTTAAAAACTACGAGGTGGTATATAAGCACTTTGTTTTGATTTGGTTTTGATTTTTCAACATGTAATTTTCCTACCCAAGAATATTTTTCTTTTATATCTTAGTTAAACTGCTGTGGCAAAGGTGGAGCCATAGAGGCGACATTTGAAAAGACCTGTCCTGAACAGGACAGTCTCCAGGATACTATTACATTACCGGTACGTAGAAGTAATCTAGTGTACTAAAAGGATGCATATTTTGGTTTGTAGACACAAGTATACACTGATTTAAAAAGCCTCCCCTTGCTGCCAGTGCAACAGAGTATCTTGAATTTGGAGGAAGTATAAATTCAGGCTTTACGTGGCTATATTGGTGAGTGGTATTTCATTAGTGAATGGTATTTCAAATAAAATTGAGGACTTTAAGAGAAGAAATTATTCCTCAAGAGGAAGGAAAGTATGACTTAACATGCCTTTATAGATCTTTTTGAACCATGACGCCTTGAAAGAACATGAGACACAGTCCATCCAACTCTGATATTTGCAGTAATGTGCTGCTGCTCTGGAGAACTAGTTTTGCCTGCTCTGAAACCTCAGGAAGGGAGGAAGCAAACCTGTTTTTGGCAGAATGTTTGTGACACTTTGACCAGGCAAATTCAAAATGCCGAAAAGCTCAGCTGGAAAAGATGATATCAGTCCCATTGTGCAATTTTCCTCTCAATGTCCCCTTTTCCTCTTGTTCCTGAGATTTTTACAACTACAGGAGAATTGGCCATTGGCTTGAAATAGACACAGCAAGAGAGAACTGATAGGTCTGCAAAACATACGAACATCCAGGTTGATCAGAAGCTCTTTAGCTCTATACTATTGTTTGCTCAGATCCATCCTTGTTTGTTTTTTATTTGTATGTGTTCTGGATTTTAGTTTCCTCCTTGCAAGGAGTTGCAAACTGGAGTGTTTAACAAGCCCCTGGTGGGTTTCCAAACACGGCCAGTGGCCTGTGTTAGACTCAGTGGATCACAGTTTACACAGGCAACATAAAGTTCATTGCAACTGAATTTGCCCTCTTCCACCACCTCTACCTGCACCACCTCCTGCTTCTCCTCTGACAAGAAAAAAAAAGCCTATACTTTTCCTCATCTCCCTCTTCCTCACCTCTTGTTATCAAGAGAAATAAATCTACTCAGTGGTCAGTTTTTTCCCTTTGCAGGAGCTAGCACCTTTTGGCTGGCCTTGACAGGCAGACAGAATCAATATTCTCCAGGTCCCTTGCCTTCTCCTAATTTGAGGACTGATATGAGAGAGCACTGAAGTGGTATGAAGACCCTGAGAGAGTGATGAGCACGCATCTTTCTTTCTCCTTGAGCTTGAGTGGGTGCTCAATAGATTAAAAAGCAAGTAATACCCATATCGTGAGCAGTGGCCATGGACTGCTCTAGGTCAACACGATCAGTGAAATGTATCCCTTGCAGTACTAAAGCTTTAAGCAGAGTCCTATGCAAAACTAGCGAAGATAACAACTTGCTTTTTTTTCCAGCCATGCCATTCAGCCATTGATGATTTCTTCGCCAAAAAGCTGAACGTGATTGGAGGAGTTGGCATTGCTATTGGTATAATTATGGTAGGTTGTTAAAAGTTTGATTTATTTGCTGAACGCTAAATTATTGGAACATGTAAAGCAGCTATCAAAGCCCAACTGTAACAGAGTTAAGTGAGAGACAGTAAGTGATAGTGAATATACTGTGAACCAAAATGAGTGATGTAAACTACCCTCCTAATATCACAAGGGGTGGAGAGGTGAAAGTCTTAAAAACCTAAGAAACCTTTTACTGTACATAGTTTTTACATTTGTAGGACCAGTTAATGAAACACTGAAGCTTAATGAATTTTGCTGTTTGAAATGGGATGGAGTACAAGCTGAGTTTATAAAATGACATATGTTAATTCAGAGGTCCCAGCTTGCAGACTATACAGGCTGATGCCCAACTTAAGAATTCTTGAACCCTGTCTCTGGATGTAAACCAGTATAAAATTGTGGACAGTGTCCTTGTCAGGTTAATTGTTCAGCATAAGGGGTTGACTTAAAGTTACTTGCAGTGATACATTCACCAGAGCACTAAAATCTTTCATCTGAGGATGTCTAGTCTTTCTTTCATGCTGCTTTCTGGCCCTTAAGGGAATTAAATCCTATTCCTCAAAGAGCTAAACATGTTAGAAGGCTTCAAAGTGAATGGTAATGATGGTGAAATTTTATTGTGTTAGATACTCTGCTTGTTCCCTGAGCTCTACAATGTAAATCACATTTCCTTTTTTCCCTTCCCATATAAGGTCAGAAGAAACCAGTTGTGAGAGTATGTGCTGAACCTTTATTGGCTTGAACCAATACAGTTTCAGTCACAGATAAATTCTAAATGAGATTGTCATTTGATCCTTCCATTCCAGAAGCACCATTGGAGAGCTTCTGACACCGACCGTGATAACATTCTGATTTATATTGCCCTTCATGAAGAACTCTCTTAATATTTTCTCGTTTCAGATATTTGGCATGATTTTCAGTATGATCCTTTGCTGTGCTATTCGCAGAAGCCGAGAAATGGTCTAAAGCCTCTGCACTGGACCTCATCCCTCCCATACAAGAATTTTGCGTTTATTAACCTTAGCATTCTGAAAGGCATTTCTGAAGTTATATATATATATTTTTAATTCCTTATTTGGTACTGATGTTCTTAGTTTTTGCTAATTATGTTTATAAAAGCTTAAAAGGAATCTACTATTGAAAAGTTGCTATATTTGTTAAGCTAAAGTCCAACAACTTGTATATAAGGGTTTTTGTCTCTAAATTGATGTCTAGCTTTATTCAGACTTACAAAGGAGATGTAATTTATGTTGGAGAAAATTTGATACTTAATAAAGATTTAAGACCATATAACTAGTTCTTTCTTTTATATTAAAAAAAGCTTTCTTATCAGTGTACTGAGTCTGACACACAAGATTAACAAAGCCAGATGTGTTTCTCTTAAGATAGCTTAAGACAGCTATTGGAGCTTTCCTTGCTTGTAGAAGTAGCCTTAATCCTTTTTCTGCATTAACATATTGAAGATTGGCAAGGTTAAATCTCTACCCTGAGGTATGACTACAGAAGGTGGAGGCTGAGAAGAACCTCAGTCCTGGGCCCGCTGCTCTTCGATATTTTTATTAATGACTTGGATGAGGGAGTGCAGGGAATGTTTGTCAAATTTGCAGATGATACAAAACTGGGCAGAATAACAATACCCTAGAAGACAGAAACAAAATTCAAAATGACCTCGATAGGATGGAGCACTGTTGAAGGCAACAGAATGAAATTCAACAGGGATAAGTGCAAAGTACTACACCTTGGAAAAAGAAACCAATTGCACAGTTACAAGATGGGGGATACCTGGCTCAGCAAAACCATGAGCGAGAAGGGTCTTGGAATTGTCATAGAACATACGCTAAATATGAGCCAACAGTGTGATGTGGCTACAAAAAAAGCAAATGCTATTTTAGGCTACATTAATAGAAGTATAGTTTCCAAATCCCGCGGGTTGCTAGTCCCCCTCTATTCAGCACTGCTTAGGCCTCACCTTGAGTATTGTGTCCATTTCTGGATGCTAACAAATTGGAACAAGTTCAGAGGAGGTCGAGAAGGATAATCAGGGGGCTGAAAACCAAGCCTTATAAGGAAAGGCTGAAAGAACTGGACATGTTGAGCTTTCAGAAAAGAAGGCTGAGAGATGATATGATGGCACTTTTCAAATATTTGAAAGGATGTCATAGAGAGGGACAAACTGCTCTGGATCATCCCGGAGTGCAGGGAATGCAACAATGGGCTCAAGTTAAAGGAAGCCAGATTCCAGTTGAATATCAGGAAAAACTTCCTTAACTTCCTTAGAGCAATACAACAGTGGAACCAGTTACCTCGGGAGCTGGTGAGTGCTCCAACACTGGAGGCATTCAAGAAAAAATTGGATAATCACCTGGTAGAAATGCTTTGATTGTATTCCTGCGTTGAGCAGGGAGTTGGACTTGATGGTCTTCTGGGCCCCTTTCAACTTCACTTTTCTGTGATGGAAGTTGGATACCTTTCCTGAAGATACAGGTCCAACTTTGCCTTTGGGTTAGTTGCTGCCACCAGCCTGTTAGAATTCATGTATAAACTTGGAATTATCTTCTCACTGTAAGGCGAAGTGTGGGGGCAATTTTGCCTTTTTTCGAGGGCTGCCCAGAACTTCTGCCTCCCAGTTAAAAATGGCTACTAATGGCCTTAAGAGGTTTTTCTGGTAACCCCCTTGTGTAACAAAATATTTCCAGGGTGGAGTTGAGACAGGAGGCATGGGCCTTCAAAATGCAGGGATCCATGGGCGTACAACAGCCACTGGACTGGAATATGTTGTCTACCCCTTCTGGAAAGTGTCTCCCAAGCTTTACTCTGCTTCCTCAAGGGGAAACAGATTGGATTTTCCAGCTAGCAAACTCAGCTGTGATTCTAGAATTTGGAATCATGTAGTAGTTGATCTTTAGGGTTATGTACAAAACAACAAAATCCTCCAGGCCTTAAGGAAGTTAAAGAAAGAACATAACATTTGGTAAAATTTTGATGTATACTAGAAGCAACCATACAGTGTGAAAACACAAGGAATGACTGACCAGTGCATAATCTAAGACTGTAACTGTTAGAGTTATAGAAAATGAACATGCATGTTTGGGTTGCTCTTTTCTCTTTGACTAAAAAGCTGCAATGAAAATTGAAACAACACTCATTCCACTGCTAATTCTCTTCAGGTCTCTTTCACAATAATTATTTCAGTGTGTTGAAGAAATCCTTTAAAAATAATTTTCTCTGCTGGATTTTTGTCTGTGTCATTGTTCAGTAGAATAGTGCTGGACTGAAAGCTTCAGACCAAGGAAAATCCTGTGGCTTGCTGATCTTTTTAATTATTATTCATTTTTTATTGGGCCAGGGAAGATCATATTTATTTATTTATTTATTTATTTGTTTAACTCACTCACTCACTCACTCACTCACTCACTCACTCACTCACTCACTCACTCACTCACTCACTCACTCACTCACTCACTCACTCACTCACTCACTCACTCACTCACTCACTCACTCACTCACTCATTCTTTCATTCTTTCATTCCATTTATACCCTGCCTGTCTGTTCATCGCGAACACTCTAGGCAGGAAGGGGATTTGGAACAAGGCACTGGGGTAAATAAAAAACAGAATGTGATAGAGAACAATATATATCATTATTGCTTTCACCTATACGGTGTTCTTACTAAGCTTATTGCACACTAATCCTGCCAATTTTTTCTAAGCCTTTAAGATCTTCAATTACATCTTGTGTCTTCTTATAATATTGACTCATTCATGTTTTCATCTCTCATCCAATTATACAAAGGTTACCATTTTTTTTCTAGCCTCAACAATTTCTTTGTCCTTTAATACTTCAGCTAAAATAGCCATCTCTGCTACTTCAATTTTTTTAAAAATTAACTCCTGGATTGTTGGTGTCTCCACATTTCCCCCCCAGTATTTGGCACATAAAAGTCTTGCTGCCATAGCTGCATGTATGATCAAGTATCTTTTTTTCTTTTTCTATCAAATCTGGTATTATATTCAACAAAAACCAGTTCAGGTTCATATGGAATTGTACAAGGTAACTTTTTTTGTAAGATCTTATGGACTAGTTTCCAAAAACTTTTAACTTTTCTGCAGATACACCATATAGGATAAAACTACCTTCTTTTGATATGCATTTCCAACATTTGTTGGATATGTTCTGATATATTTTTTGACAATTTTTCAGGTGTCATATACCATCTGTAGAACATCTTATATATATTTTCTTTATGATTAACTGATTTTGTTAATATTGTTTTCCCATATTTGTGACCATGACTTCAAGTTAGTATTGTAGCCCACATTTTGGGCTCATTTTATCATACATTCTTCAACTATTTCATCTTGCATTTTTAATTCTTGTATATAATTATACAACTTTTTATCAGTTTTTCCTTTACATTCAGAAGTATCTAACGTCTGTTCCTTACAAAAGCCTACTGTTTTATCTCTTGTGTACCTTGAATGTATTTGCGTTTTTGTCCACCAATCAAATATTATACCTCGCTCTTCTAATTCTCTCCTTTCACACTTGTCCTCTTTTAACAAATCTTTATATCTCAAGAGTTTCTTCTTTTATTTGTTTGTTTGTTTGTTTGTTTGTTTGATTTATACCCCGCCTATCTGGGCGACTCGTCCACTCTAGGCGGCTTACAATATAGGATAAAACAATAAAATACAGAAAAGTACATAATCGTACGATAACAATTGTAATAAAATAGAGGGATAATACAAGGGAAAATAAGAAAAGAGATAAGGTATTGACTGGAGGGAAGGCCTGGATGTATAACCATGTTTTTAATTGGGTTTTAAAGATTCCCAGCATAGGGGGGGAGGTTGTTCCATAGGCGAGGAGCCACCACCGAGAAGGCCCAGTTTCATGTTTTCTCCTTCTAGGCCTCTCTCAGCGTCAGGCTCCTCAGCCTCACCTCCTGACTCGCATGGGTGATCCGGGTAGACCTTGGTGGGAGCAGGTGTTCTGCCAGATATCAAGGTCCTAAACCGTTTAGGGCCTTATAAGTAAGCATTAAAACTCTGAAGTCGACACGGAAACGAATGGGCAGCTAATGCAGTGCAACCAGAGTTGGAGAAATGTGTTGGTATTTTCTCACTCCAGTAAGGAGTCTGGCCGCCGCATTCTGCACCACCCGAAGTTTCCACATCAGCCTCAAAGGCAGCCCCACGTAGAGCGCGTTACTGTGGTCTAATCTTGAGATTACGAGTGCATGCACCAAGGTAGTGAGCGCCCCCGTGTCTAGATAGGGCCGCAGCCGGGCAATCCACCAAAGGTGGAAAAAGGCGGTGCAGACTACCGACGCCACCTGTGTTTCCATGGTGAGCGTCGGGTCCAGGTGTACCCCCAGGCTGCGGACCCCACTCTTCGCGGCCAGGGTCACCCCCCCAAATGTGAGAGAGTCATACAAGCCGCCAACCACGGGGCCACCCACCCTCAGAACCTCCATCTTGTCCGGATTCAGCCTCAGCCCATTTTCCTGCATCCATTTCAGTATGGTCCCCAGGGACAGGACAGTATCACCTGCAGTTGGTGAAAAGGAGATGTAGAGCTGGGTGTCATTGGCATATTGATGACATGAAGCTCCACACCCCCTGATGACCCCTCCCCGCGGACTCATATAGATGTTAAACAGCATTGGGGAGATAATCGACCCCTGAGGAACCCCACAATTGAGACTCCACAGGGCCGAAACACACTCCCCAAGCTGTACTCTCTGGGGACGGTCCTCCCAGAAGGAATGGAGCTAGGCCAGTGCCAGGCCACGAATTCCCAGCTCAAAGAGCCTCCCCAGGAGGATACTGTACCGTGGTCGACGGCATCAAAGGTCACTGAGCTATCAAGGAGGACCAACAAGGACATTTTGCCCGTCAGCCTCCCTCAACAGGTCATCCAAGGATCCAGGGCATCTGTTTCATCCAAGTAGGCCTTCCTCTCGACCACTTTGCTCATGAAAAAAACATTGGCGATGGGCCTGTAATTGCCAATTTCGTCTGCTGCCAAACTAGGTTTCTTTCTTATGGGCCTAATGAGTGTCTCCCTGAGGGAGGAAAGACCCATTTATTATTATTGTGGCCCATTCTGTTGTTATCGGCCTGGCTGCTTTGATTAGCCAGTGGTGGAGTGCCACTGAGAGGTTACATTTTATTAGGTGATGATCTGACCATGACAAAGGGACCGACACAAGGTCAGTCACCATCAGATCACGCTCGCTCCAATTAGTGGAAAAGACCAGGTCCAACGTGTGGCCACCCACGTGGGTGGG